AAAAAACGAAGTAAAAATAATCCAACATTTTTTTTTTTCTTAAAAAATAAAAATCGTTTTTGTAGGATGGAAACTTTTTGAGGTTAAAACCCCCCACCCCCAAACTAAAGGAAATAAGTTTTTTATCCGACATCGATCTTTTGACGTCGTCCCTTATTCTTTTTGAACGTACAGTAACAATCACTACACATGCATATTTGTAGTTTTTTTTCTAACGAATACTGTTGTGTGTTCCACAAACATAATATTTTTAATTCATAATTAATTATAGTCTGATTTGGTATAATAAAAAAAATATATAGGTATTTTCGTCCTTACTTCATCTTCAATAAATTGACACTTTCTGTTCCCGAAATTGTTCACTGTATGCATCCACCTTTGTTCCATGCTTCTATCGATAATTTACACGTGTTGCATTTTATGTACAATGTATGTTGCGTATACCGGTACTAGTGTACGACCTTTGACCCCATAGCAGCCTCTACTCAGTAGGTGGCTTTCTTTGTTTTTATATTTTAAGTATTGAGATTAATGATTGACTGTTTGAACTTTGACCTTTGACACCTTTCTGCTAAGCACCTATTTAGAATTATGTAGGGTTTTTGCTAAGATTTTGATCAGAAAATCTCAATCAAGAAAGCAGGCAGCTAAATTGTATTTTTCCACATGAAGTATTTAGTATAGTAAAGTGAAGTGAACACCTAGTAAATCACTATGGACAAGAGTATCCTCGGGGGCGGAGCTACGTCACGGACGTTCTACGTTGCTAAGACGCGCACCACTGTACCACGTATTTCTATGGGCTTTGTTCGCGCTGCTGTGGAACGCCGGTCGAGCCGGTGAAAATTCGAAAAAACACCACAAACTCAACTTTGAAGTAATCCTGAACAACCAAATTTATATATGTTACACACGTAGGGCTAATCTTGTTACACTGTTCAGAGGAGTCTCAACAGTCATCCCAACGTACCGTTTTCCACGAGTCTTGCGCCTTTGTTTTCACCGCCGCGGGTTGCCAGGCGGTGAAAATGCCCGGATGTCCGCCCCCGAGGATAAGTCTTTGTGATCGCTTTTTAAGAAAACCCCTGACGAGTGTGTGACAAAATGGAACTGGCTAATTTACATAATCTTAAACAGGAAATGACTTCGGTGGCAAAATGCGCTATGTTTCAGCACTAACACTTGCAATTTGCACTTACAAAAAAAAAAAAAAAAAAAAAAAAAAAAATTCGGGAGAGACAACAGTGAGATTCAATGTCCGGAACTGTCGCCTGGCACAAAAACATAAAAAAAAAAAAAATCTTAATCAGAAATCATTATCACATGTTTTCTCTCAGCATATTTTTTTTATTTTAAGACAGAAGACTCCCTATGTTTCTGTATGCAGAACTAAGTACTCCCTAGCTCTAAGATGTCTTATTTATAACACAATGTGACCTCATATCAATTGTACATGCATCTTGAATATTTAAATTCCTATTTAGTTGCCAGATTAAGACGTGAAATCCATCAAAAGATGTTAGGTGGGCCATATTTTTGGATTAACTACTGACAACTGGACTACATAAAAACAAAGCAAGCCACTGAGTATATGCACAAAAACATTGTTAATTCTGTGTTCCTTTTTCTCTATTTTTCATTGTTCTCTTTCTTGTTCATGCCGTCCGCCATTGTACAGTACTGTGTTGGAAACGATTTGTGAACGCCCCATCACTCTGCCTCTCACGCAGGCGGAGCAATTGCAGATCGCTAGCGCATTATCGTCACTTGCAGACAGGTACAGTATATATCCGTAGCGATGAAATAAAAGCATATCTTTTCTTTTTCTGTCAGTAGTGTGTGCTTCTTAATGGCAGACAATCATATATTGAACTTGTCGGCCATCTTGGATTTATGTTAATTGTATCTACATCGTTTACTTTTTATTCGTTATTTTTTGTATTTTGAAATAATGCTGTCATCAGAATTTGCATTTGCACATTCTAATATTCTTTTTTGTTACTCAGATTTTGGTAGTTACTACACTCACATACAATATATGACACTAAGTGTCATAATTCATGATCGTAGCTACCACGTTATCTCACAGAAAAATAATTTGTCTAGGTCAATGTATCCGGTACTTGTAAAAGTGCTCTGGCATATTAGCAACCTATCAAATTGGTTGCTATGGAGAAATTCATGTTGACTTTGTTGCTTGACTTATTGCCATGAGGTCATTAGGTACAAAATTAACATAATCCATCATGGCTACCCGAACATGACTGCATTGCACGCTTTTTTCCCCCCTATTTCACCATGTAGTGTAGTGTAGTGTGTTTATCTCTCGTTTTTTTTTGTAGGAAATTTAGAACAGAATGATCAGCTGTTTTCTCAGTCACACCATTTTAACCAATGATATTTCATTTTTGAAATATCTTATGATTAAAACCCCCCGACCGCTACTTTCCTCAAAAAAAGTCCTTTGACTAACCACCAACCCCTCCCTACACTCACCCTGAAAAAATAATATACAAATCTGTTCATCATACCGTTATTTTTTTTACCATGGTTTTAATATCCTTAGCATTTTTTGTTATCGTTTATGTTATGTTTTAATTGGTATGAATCTCTTTCAGTGGTAGTGAGCCCTCGTTGCTGGCTTCACCAGTCACGCCGAGAAGGGAAGTCTCCACGCCGACTGGTATATCATGATACAGCCCATCTTAATCACAGTGACAAAAGTAAGTGCATTTCATCATTTCAAAGGGATGAACCATATTCTGAGCTGTGTCAATTGAGTATCCAAAGTGACAGGAACTTTAAACAAAATTTAAATTTAAAATTATTCATCCTCAATGATATCAAGTGAAATGTTTAAACTACCAATGCAGTACATGATAAAAGTTTTTGGAAACAAAAGCGTATTTTACACGTATTCTTTTCATTGCCTGAGAGCGATATTAACGCATTAATTATTGATCTTGTTCATTATATTCAGTGCTGATTGATACTTCCAAAAGAGGCGATCTTTTGAAATTTGCAGAGCTCCATAAAACTGGTGCAAACATTTTCGCCACAGACCAGCACGGAATGTCTGCCTTACACCACGCTGCTAGATTTGGGCATAAAGACATTGTCAAGTACATAATTGAACAATGTGAGTACCAACCAATCAGAATAGTGTGATCACGTGATATTTATTGAACAATGGCTATTTGAGTTATCCTCGGCCAATCATGGTTCATCACCACATATACCTTTCCTCTTATATCCCATTCTGTATATCCAAATCTCGAGTATCCTCTGGGTTGAGGTACGTCATAAGACGTTCCTCGTCACAAGACGCGCACTACTGTACCCTGTATTTTCATGGGCTCTGCGCGAGCTGCTGTGGAACGCCAGTCAAAGAGCCGGTGAAAATAGCTAAATTCTTGAATTCTAGTAATCCTGAACAACCAAATTTATATATGTTGCAGATACAGGGGTAATCTTTTTACACGATTCACGGGAGTCTGAACAATCATCCCAAAGTACCATTTTATGAAAGTTTTCGGCCTTTGTTTTCACCATGAGGGTTGTCATGCGCTGATAACGCCCGGATGTCCGCTACTGAGAATACACATCTAAAAGAAGGAAATATAAGATGAGCAAGCTTAGATAGTTTTTCTATGTTTTTAAAAAAATGTTTTGTATACTTCAGGTGATAAATCAATACTGGACCTGGAAGATCGTGAGAGATGTCAGACTGCACTTCATAAAGCAGCCTGGTATCAAAGACGTACTATCTGTCGTATGCTGGTTGCAGCCGGGGCATCATTAACGAAAACCGATTATCAAGGAAACACTCCACGATTACAGGCATTGAGGGCTGAGGACACCGACCTCGCTGCATTCCTTGAAAGTAAATACAATTGTCCTTTTACACCTTTCTAGGTATTGTGAGAAAATTATTGGGTTTGAATTTTTGAATGGAATTGTTGTTTTAAAATTACCTACAATTTTTAAAAAGAAAATTGAGAAAAAGTGTTAACATCAACATATTGGGTAGATTTGCCATGGTTTAATTCAGTGTATTTTTTTTTTTTTTTTTTTTTACAAAAAATGACTTGAATGACGTTAAGAAATGTCTGTTTTCTATCTTTTTTTTTCTTGCTAAGGTCAGGAGCACTATCAGCTGGTCGCGACTGAAGACCAAGAGACCGCTGTATAGCATTAGTGGTTATTGCCATGGCAATTGTGGTTACCATGACAATGGAAATTAAAATAATCAACATGAGAGCAATGAATGGATATGATGATTTGTACATGATTTGAGATATTCTATGAGATATTCCATGATTGTGAAGACGTGAAATATATCCTGAAAATCTTGATAAAATCATCCTTCAAAGCTAATACTGTGTATTTTTCGGAATCGTGATACTCATTTTTACCGAACGTTAGAATTCGTGGGACGTTTGTACTTTGAGGTGATATTTGACTTTTCAGCAACATGTAATCGAACGAACAAACTTAATATTCATTTATACTGAGTTTTGGTGAACAGCATCTTTCGGGCTTCATGCTGGCTTGGGAAAAGTCATTTGCTAAGAATGAACACTGCATGTTGGTTTGGACCTGCAAGCTGAATACTTAACCTATGAAGAACTAACCATACATTGTACCACGTACGTTTCATCAGTCGAGACAACAAACATTTTCACGAACCAACAATGTCACTGTACGACACACAATCTGAAAGTAGAATGAGTATTCCAAGATTATCAAGCCCCTGAACATGTGTATTTTATAACAAATGATTTACAAGTGGTGGCTATGACAACCATCCTTCAATGTGACATTATACACTTTATAGAAGGACCTGGAACATGAATTATGTATGAATACCACAAATGGTCAGCATTCAGAACCAACAAACTCTGCAAACTGGTAAATGAAGGCTCATAACATGAATAATATATTCATGTTTTACCTGAATATTTTATGTATAAACCACTAGGCAACAATTAAAACTTATTTGTTTGTTTTTTTCTATTTACAAAAAAAAAAGTTTATTATCTATAAAGGTATAAATCGATACTATTATAACAAAGTATATATATAAATATTGTATTGTAGTTTCCTATTGCCTAAGAATTGGATGCACTGGATGCATATTTTCAAAGCAAAGGGCTAATTTTTTTTCTTTCATTTTAATTGCGAGACTGTATTCTATGTATACCTGATTGTATAATCTAGTCATGGTGAGGGCGCCCTCAGTGGCAGTGTAAAGCCTGGTGTACTGCCACTGAGGGCGTTTTGTGAATACATAACCAGTATTTTGCATTGTAGCAGGAACTATAAGTTGAAAAAAAAAATGCATTCTTCTGAAATCTTCCAAAAGTTTTGTCTGGGAGAAAATGGTTGATACTTCAAGAATTTTTTTTTTTAAATTCAGAGCATCATATTGGTAACAAATTTGCATGTTTCATTAAAAAAAAAAAAATCTTTTTTTCTATGGAGTTTTAATTCTCATGAACTAACATAAAGGTCAAAATGAAGTGTGTATTTTATGTTCGTTATACATGTTTGAGGTCCTATAGTCTGTATTTTATGTATATTATACATGTTTAAGGTCCTGTGGTTGGTATGCCTAGAACCCTGTATATATATATGCTATCATAAGTATGAATTTCACCTTGTAAGAAATTTGGAAATGCGTTTTGGGGGTTGGTACTATACATATGTTGGTGAACCAGCTTACTAATTTGTTACGTCTAAATGTTCTTTCCATTTATTTCAAAGAAAGTTTTTCTTTGAAACAACTGGCCATTCTTGTTGTCTAATATGCAAATGTGGCTCTGATGGCCAATCAAGTTTTACATAATCAAGGTGGCCAGTCCACCTTGTTATTCCATTAGCCAATGAGAATGCTTATTTCATAGTGGTCATGTGACTATATTAGCCAATCACACCACATCTTTTTCAACAAGCTATCACATTTTTTTGGGAATACAAAATTTGTTGTTATGGTTTTGTTATTTGTGTCATGTGCATGCAACTGCACCAATCAAAAGTGTTCTTACATATTATACATGGGATTTGATCACAGTGTGATGCCATGACCAATCACATTACATTTGATATCTCATATTCTTCTCCTTACAAGGGCTTCCTGTGGTCACATGTCATAATCTGGCCAATTACATTACACTTTGATAGCTAGTACATTCAGTTATATATAGTTGTATATTTTGTTCCTTACAAATTACAAAGTGGTCACATGTGATGCAATGGCCAATCACATTACAGATTACATCTGCAACATTTTTCCTTATAAGGCCATGGGCGAGTATTAAGAATTTTTAAACTTGAGAAAAAAAAAAAATTATGATATTTGTCTAGAAAAGTGGTTGACTCTATTTGCTGTATAATTTATTTTAAAATATTGAGTTTTTGTGCGATATTTTTCAGCGCAATGAATGAGTTTTAGATATCAGATTAGGAAACCCCCAATTATGTAAATTAATTGTGTCAAACATCTGTCTTATGTACAATTTTTTTTTTTTTTTTAAATTGGTGCTTTAAATGAATACGCAATGCTGAAGTATATTCAGCTGTCATATACAGCACGAAATCCATTCGTGCTCTTTCATTTGACTTTGACACTAGTGCATGACATTTTAATGTTTTTGTTTTGCATCACAAAATTTGTATTCCTTGTTTTTGTCTGTTTATCCATATTCCTGGAATCAGGGATCTGGAAAGTCGGTGTCATGTATGCAAAATCTTATTTGAGCTAAAGTTACATAAAACTATTATAATCGGGCTGTATGTATTAGTTGATATAGGTCTCGTAATGTAGAGCAGTGAATTGTTGGACGGCAGTCGTCAATTTCGTCATTTCACTTTACAGGTACGCGATTTCTATGAATCTCTGATTGGTTGAATTCTTTCTAATGAGCAACTTTTACGATAACGAAATAATAAAACTTGATCCATTATGCGACAATGGTTGTGAATTACTTTAGTTGACTCAGTTGTTGGCAGACTTAAAGCAGGAGGGGTGTCACCTGCGGACAGGCGGGAATCGAATCCCAAGTGACGATAACAACACACGCTAAAAAAAAAATGCAAAGGCTCATGGGTAGACACTTGTTTGTAAAACATGACACGCTATGGCCATCTGACGCATGCGCAGGTGACGACTCCCCCGCTTTCATTTTGTAATTGTGCCTACAGTAAAGTATGAAGTAATTAGTGAAGTATGAATTATTAATCCTTTGAACAAGGAAGTTGAATTTTTTTATTTACGCAAAATACACATGCATCATCTCATTTTCAAAAAAAGGTTATGAAGACCTTAAAAATTGAGTCTATTTGGTAAAAAAATTGATGACAAAATTAGAATATGCAAAATGGTGTACCAAGGGTTAATGTTAAATGTTGATTGAAATATTATTCACACACCTTTAGAACAGTACATGCTTAGCAGCATGTAGTAAAGTATGTTCTAGAAAGTTACTACTAAGGCCAGACTTTTTTTATTTCTTGTTTCTCGAGTTATTATAAGGCAATTTTTTTGAGGAGGGCGGAAAAAAATAAAATTAATTCATTTTTTCCCATTAGATTTGTGTGATTCTCAAAGAATCATAAGTGAGATAATTGATCGGAGAGAAGAAATGAAATAAAATTTTATTCCATGTATAACCTTGTTTCTCATCTGCGCGAGACTTCGGTACTTTGATCATGATACTCCCATGAAAATGCAACTTGGATTTGTTATGCGGCGGGCGGTAAAAAAATTAAGATAAAAATAATATTTTTTTACTATTTATTTTTGCGCAACAAGTCGGCGGGCGCGAGAAATTTTGCTGAAATAAAATTTTATTTTTATAAACGACGACCACCGCCCTTTAAAGTATAAGTTATGTGTGTGGAGTTTGTATGTGTGTGATTGTCTTACAAACGTACTGATGACTTTTATTTAACCTTGTACCTACCAAGTGACGACCCTCACTATTTTTCATAATTTATATTAGTATTTAATCAAATTTAAGTCAAATTTGTATAGCTTAGGGCTAATAAAGAGAGAAGGTATGGTTCAGTTTATATTAATATAACTGTACTATACCTACCCCCTTTATTAACCCTAAGCTATCTATGCAAATATTTCTATGTTAAGACACAGGATGTATAATTTTATTTCTACTTTGTTGCATTTTTATTTACTTAAACCATAGACCTTAAAAGACATTTGCGGATTCAGGATTATAACCAGCATAGCACGCAGGAAGTAGCATTTTTCTTTGATGAATACCGCAGTTGCCTGTCCCTGTCTTTTAAAGTCTATGATTAAACTTGAATTCAAATGCAATTCTATATAGAGTCTACATCCAACTATATTAAAAAAGTTAATTCAACTATATTAAAAGTTAATCCAATGCCATGTAATCACAATGACTGTAAGTAGTGTAGGAGTGTGTGTATGTTTGTCCGTTCCACTGATAGCCCAAAATAATTATTGCATTTCAAGTGATACTTGGTGCAGTGAACAGGAAATTTATTTATAGGTTTCTTGTGTGTGTGATATTTTGTTTGATTGTAATTACAACGGTTACCTAAGTTTGGTCACACTTGTTTTATGATCCACGCGTCACCACTGGCTCCGGGATCAAATCAAATCTGTATTGGGGTTGCGCTGTGATATTCAAAATACTACATATTGTAATGCAATTCTGTACGGAATACTGTAAACAAAATGACGAATGTGATGACTTACCCTGACATCAAACCAACAAGTTTGGAGGATGACTATCATTGTTAGAATTACACTACCAGGTTATTTTGTTAGTTATTCATCAAGAAGACGCTTCTTCAGTTTAAATAAATAATTTTATGATGGTGTTTTGACTTTTATGCACTTCCAGTTTTAAATATTTATTGTGTTATTTCTTTTATATGTAAGAAATGACGTATTTTGTGGTTTGTGTTGGTGTATCGTTTACAAAATATAAATTGAAATGCTCCATGAACGAACTGGCTGCTCACACTATCTCTCTCTTATAAAGTCTGGGGTACATCATTAAAGCGCGGTGGTTGTCGTGCAGCATGTGTTTGAATTTCATGTAAATAAACATGTATACGTTACAATGTACACGCGTTGTATACGTCGCTTTGAGTCCCATATCGAACAGGACGCGGCACGACGACTGCCGCCCTTTAACTATTTTCACTAGTCGCTGAGTTTATTTTCAAGTTGTTCGAAACTACGCAATTAACTTCGTAGTATCATGACGGTTTCTGTCGATTCAAGTACCGAAATCGCGGAAAAGTAATTCGCTGAGAATTGTGTGTAACACAGCCAAATACGACATTGCGACCCATGGGCATGGCAAAATCAGCTGCGAAGAGAAGAAAAATGTGATGTGATTTTCTCTAATCTCGGATGGTTCGAGTGTGCAGCTGTATTTTAAAAACGATGAAAACAAAAGTGCACGTAATTCTTGATCACTGGTGGCGCTATTCGTAGGATGTTCCAACAGGCAGCCTAAGTCCATTGTTCGTTCACGGTGATATCTCGTTATGCGCGAACGAACGTCAAAACAGGACGTACGAAGGTCATATCGTCGTATTAACGTCCCCGGGGATTTGACAAATGCGAAACAATTTTGGGGGTATTTTCACTCCTAATAATGTGCTATACACGCCTTTGATGATAGGTAAAGTATCGATAAAGTAAGTTAATATAAACGTAGTATTCCTTTCTGAAAAATACTAGTAGACATTTCTACATTAAACTGCATTATTATTTATACATTCTAAAAAATGGGCAAATCAAACTCAAAAACAAATAATCTCATTTTTGCGGCAGACGTTCGATCCGCGTTTTTAACGAGATTACGCGAGATCTCCGCAACCACCTACTAGTATATTGTTGTCTGATCTTCACAATGCGTATCTCATTGTCTCCGCGGACAAAGCTTCCAAAAACGTAGTGTTTGTATGAAGTCGTATTATTATGAGTTCATTATTATTAAAGAAATTGCGCTTACTGGGTATAATAATTCTATACTAATAAACAAATAGCTTTTCGCAAAAATTCATTCATTAAATAATAAATACAACTATTCTAATCAAGGGAAATGAATGACTTGCCTAGCTTGTACTGGATATTCAAACCCCATAAAACAGCATATAATACTAAATTCATTGCTGGAACATTTAATGGGCGGCAGTCGTCGTGCCGCGTCCTGTTCGATAAGGGACTCATAGCAACGTATACAACGCGTGTAAAATACATTGTTTATTTACATGAAATTCGTACACGCGCTGCGCGACGACCACCGCGCTTTAAATATTCAATCACGAAGTTGGCTATTTTGTCAACTGTCAAAGAGGGACCTCAAAAAATACTGTATATCAATATCACTTTCTTAAAAACAAGACTGATGCAAAACTTTTCGACATTGAAGAGGATATTCTCAGAGTTGGAATTTTTAATTGACAACTTTCTTGCCGAGTTTGGAGAATTTATTTTTCAACAAATTATCGGCCTATCAATTGCAACAAACTGTGCTTCCTTGCTGAAATTAGTTAAAACAAACGGCACAAAAAAGATAATTTTTTTTATATTCAAATATATTGTACTTTGCATCTAAAAGTATAAATTTATTTATTGTATTCAATGATATATCTAGCAGTATTCTAGGCCAAAGACTAGGTGGAATTTGGTAAGAGTGTCATCGAGCAGGAAACTGAGCGACGACCACCGCCCTTTAAAACTATTTCTAGAAGCCACCCCCAGGAAACACGCCCATCGTGTCGCTGATGCAGCATGTACATGTAAACTGTGGGCTTTCTTTCACATTCATTGTTTTCGCGATCATACGCTAAAACAGCCAGAGTACCGACTTTGCCAGCCCACGTGTGTGGTTGAGATGACATACCTGATACGCGGAAACGACTAAGAACTATAGAGGGCGAAAACAAGATGCGTACGCGGCGGTGTTAGCAAACTCCACAGGAAAGTCCCAATGCAATATAGCGAGAGACTTATTGGCGCTATCAAACGATTTAATGTTATGAAAAAGGTTTTCTTCATTTTGTGTAAATCTCGCTTCCCCTGGCACCAATTGATTTATGGCTAGTTATTTTTGTCTAGGTACGTACTGTGGCTAAGTCGGTTGTTGTCTGTTTTCATATTTCATATTACAAAATTATATCGTTGTGATTTCAAAAGAAGTTGTAAATTTTTCTGAAAGGTCTCTTCAACTTGTTATTGGAACATTGATAATGACTTCCCCCGGGGAGGTTGTAAGTTACTCGTACGAATCTCTTTAGTACGCGCAGTAAGATTGTAGGAAATGTTTATTATATAAGTCCACTCAATCATGGAAAATATCCTGATTTTTTTCTCCTGGTCAATAAAGGAATATTGACTTTAAATAATTCAAAAGTGGCTTTTGACGGATATCATCAAGTGTTTTTTTTTAGTGCATAATTTCTTGTTTGAAGAATATCTGCCTAAGGAAAAAATACTAACATTGAGTTCTGCCGAGTGTGATTTTTTTCTACTAGTAGAAATAACATGATTATATTTTGAATAATATTTGACCATTTAAAAAAAAATACCGTATCATAGCCAACAGCAGAATGACATGCCGTGTTAGTATCAAGAAGCTCCATGATTCCACGTAATAAATAATATTGAACGTGATTTGTGGCCAACTTTCATAATGGTGCAAATTACGAGTTGACTTCTTCTTTTGTCTCATCAGATTAACTTATATAGTCTGTATTTGTTGTATCTATAATTTTAATAGATCCTAATTAATCTGAAAATTATGAATGTGGTTTATGATTATTTTAGTAGATGCCTTTGTGGAGCAATTAACCGTAGTATGGTTCTTCTTTGTGATAATAGTTGCGGGCAGTGCGGTTTCACAATGTATTTCACACGGTCGCATAGAACCCACATCAAACACGAAGTGGTTCGCTGACTGTGGTGTTTTAATGTGGAAGATTACTCATAAGTTTTTAAAAATTGTGTCACTGAATCGCAATGGCAATAGGTATATTGTCTCATTTAACAATACAGTGAAATTTTGTGTGTTACATTGACGTTTTTAAAAAAACTTTTCCGTACTTTATGAAGCTAATATTTTTCAAAAATTGCTATTAATTTGTCGAACAATTCCACAGCACACAATGTAAAAGAAAATTTGCATTTTTTCACACGTTTTATAAACCAGATTTTTGAAATAATTCAGGACAACAAAAATTATCCGTCATTAATTATGTATAAATTTGCCACCCTTATAATGTCTTAAAGTACAATTTATTGCAAAGCGAATGAGTATTTTCATTTATAAGTAGCCTTCGACGTCACAATTAGGGATTTTGAAGCTCCAAACTAACTCAGGTTTGTTTATATTTTCGTGCGACTGTGGTGCTTTATTATCTTTTCAGATGGCTCAATGAATTCATCGACAAGTACATTGTGTATCATAACAGTTTTCCTGGAATGATACAGTGTTGTGAACGGATGAGTCTAACCTTTAGTAGGCTTCAGTTCTTTCTAAGGTAAATGATCTAACTATCTGTTTTACAGAAATAATAATTATATACCGGAGAATTTATTTTATTGCCTGTTATTATAATTCACTTTTGTGTTGTTTGCTTTGTTTTTATAGAAAGGGGGTTTAAGTTGGCGTTTTTCCAATATTCACCGTCCTATTGTTAATTCTTTGTAAATCACCTTATCCCACGTTAATGAATTACTCGTACCTATAACACCATTTATGAACTTGATAATTGATAGTTTACTATTAGTATGTATATAGGGTATCTATTTTAAGCTTCTGCACTTGAAAGGGTGTATAATTTCACAAAAATAAGTACGTGTTTTAAGGCTTTTTTGAGAACTTGAGCTATACTTCAACATGGGTACCAGGTCTGACTTGGAGTACCACCCCTGTGGGAGACTGGGACTCCAATATGAACCTTTGTATTGGCCAAATAACAAGGCTGAAAATAAGAAAGTTAAAAAAAATAAGGAAACAATAAAATTAATGTTGTTAGATGGTTAGGTGCTACTGCCTTTGGTCAAGACAATTAAATACTGGGCAAGAGAGATTGATTGATGAAACCGATTTATTAATCTTCGTGAAATTTGTTTCTTGTTTGTCGGCTTCAATGAATAATTTCGTTCTTTGGTGATATGTTTTGCAGGGTATGACTGAATGTAATTGTTCTCATTTTGTTTCGAACCATCTTATGCAGTGGTTCGTTGAAGAAATACCTACAGCTGACAAAATGTCACGAAGGATTCATTACGCAACTAGTGTATCATGTTGTGTTTGTGTCATTTACTATGTGATACTGGCTGAATGCACTGTGATCATGCGACAAGGTGCAAGGAATTATATGAAGTCACGCCAATTTTATAAAATTACGTCCGTGATTGATACATGAAAAAATACAACGCAATTATGTCTTGCGAATGTAAAGTAATGTCATATACATCTATAAATGATCAACTGGCTTTCAGAACCACACCACTACCCACAAGTCAGTTCGGCGGAAACGGAATTAAAAATTGTCACGTGACTAAAGGTCTGGGGAGGTGTTTCCCAAAATGGCGAGAGAAATCGTTTCCTATTTGTTCCACTTTCTTCCAACTTTACCGGGTTAGAAGCTATTCTCAACGATTCTTCAACTTTCCAGGGAACATACTACGCAATATCTGTGGAACTGTCTTCTGCCTGCTTTATTAATGAGCCGTTTTCATCGAAGTACGTTCACTGTTTTTATTGACCAAATTCGCGTACAGTACGACAAAAGCCTGTACGTTGGGTAATGTCGGTACATCGTGGAGAAGACGAAACCTAATATCGCTCTCCCGGATCGCTCTCTAGTGATTTTTAAATCGATAAAACTGCCGGAACCTCGCAGGATTAAGCGGTAAACTGGAAAATTAGTTTGTACGAGTTTGCCGGGATATGAGGAGACAACTCTGACCTAATAACCACCTCCCTCTTTGCTTGTTGTTTTTGTCGCCAGCTGTGTGTGTCCATTCAAATATGGGTAGGTCGACCTCTTTATTATTGTGTTTTTATTTATCCCGAATCATGTGCGTTACGTCTTAAAGTTGTCGCCTTCCGCTTGAGGTCAGCTAAGTTTACGATGACGTCGGTTTTGTTTGTTTGCTGAAAAGGATGGGCCAAGTAGTCACCCCATTTGTTCATGTATTGTACCATAGAACAGCGGTGAAAGGAGTTTCCTGTTTTTATCACTTCACCCACATCGTGCGTCTGTAGTCGAACTGAAATACCGTATTTTGTTCACTCTTTTGTACCAGGAAAGATTGAAATCGTGTAATTCTAAGAATAGCAGTAAATGATTTTCTTGGTGACCTCATCACGGATAAACTTACCAAATTCAGTTAGTGTTGCTGGCTGTAGTGGTTGCGGTCACACCCAGATTTAAATTATCAAATAAATGAACTTTCAAGAGGACAAGTTTATTTATTTACAGTATAAATCCTCCATTGCAAACATATTTTTCTCACCTTGAAATAAATATGTGGGGCACAATTCTAAAAGTTCCAATAAAATAAGACAATGAATCACTCATCTAGGTGGGATTGGAGGTTGAGAATGGAGGTATTTTCTCATACCAGTAAGTTATATAGAGAAGGTGCATTTGTAGTATCCTCAAATGCAGTTTTATGAATTGTCCATTGTAAATGACCTGGTAACGCATGTTTATTTGTAATTACGCTCATATTTCATTCATAAACCTCAATATTTTTATCTCCTTATTTTTTCAAGAGACACATTAGAGTAAAAGAAAATATGAATGTCTCATGTCTTGTGAGATCACTGGTACACTGTATTTACCAGACATGTTTCCCCAATGTTTTGACTGTTAATGCTTGATTTTCCGTTGCTACCTGTAGGAATTCTCAGGATTTGAGGATTTAATGAGTTTCGCCTTGATTCTTTTTCTCAAGGCCCCCTGGTGCAAATTTTCTATTCTGGAATCTTTCAGTGAATTAATTTTAGGTTGTTTTTAGGCATGAACATGCATTTTTTATGTTCTCCTTATACTAGTATGTTATCCATGTACATGTATACCATATGTATACAAGGTCTACTTGTAAATTGTAGATAAATAAAATTTTCATTCTTGACTAATCATCATTTCATGATTTCTTAAAAACTCTGAAAGTAATTTTCTGGGCATTTGCAACTTTGAACTGTGTCCCATTTTGACGGTTTAGTAAAAATTGCATTTTTTTTTTTCATCTGTCCAAAGTGACAGGAAATTTGTTCATTTACCGTTCCCAGCTTAAAATCTGCCTGTTTGGGACAGATGGGTACGACTTAACTTTGATCCCTGATAAAGCTAGTTTAACGGTTAATGTCTTCCTCCGACATCTAATAACAACAAACAGATAATATAGTGTAAGATGTGTTCCGTGTTTGCTAAAAATACTTTTATATTCTCGACCAGCATTGCAATATTTGCTTCCTTGTTCTTATCAATATTGCCATCACCACATTGACAGCTGTGATTCCAGGCTTGTGTGGTACACATTACGCCATTGGATAGCATTTTGAGTGAGACTATAGGAGTACCAATATTGTCAAATAAGAGAACAGTTTACAAAACAGTGTGTGCTCATGTATGTATACAAGTATGGACAGGTCGCTTCGGGTTGCAGGAATCAAATCTTCTGAAACTAAAATCTGCTTACTACACATGCTGACCTATATACAGAGTTAACATGTCTGTTTTCAGTGATCAGGTCAAATATTAGGCGACAAAATAAATAATATTCCATGGACATTACCAATAAGCAAATACATCGTGTGAGTAACATACTATCTAATTCTCATATCACTGCAATAAAACAGTACCATCACATAATATCATGACATTTACCATACAATATCAGTGGTGATATTTTATATTGAAAATGAGTGCCTCATTCTGTGATATAGAGGTTCAAAATAAAACAAATATCTTGTTGTGTAGTAGGGCAACCACTCTGAAAAACTAGATGTCCACATGTAACATGTATTTAACTATTTAATGCTAGTGTCAGGATTTTGTAATTTTCTACAAAATAGACAAGAATAATTGAAGGCCAAATTCATCTTCTTTTCAGACAATTGATTGGATCATGCGATATTTAAACTATATGTTTGTTAATACTATACCGAGCTACGTAATATTGAGTCAGACTTCTGTATTTACTTTGTTTCACTGTGCAACTATTTTTTAAAATTTGGTTGTTCCCATGGCAAACTGGTTGTCCAGACAACTGCCACTTGTCAACTCCTGGTTAATGATTAATGTCCTAGCATATCAACTAATTTGCATAATAATACAATCTAATTTGCATGTGTATTTTGTAACAAAAAAAAAACATTTAAAGGGAAACCGCTCAATCCCTTGGATTGCACCAAGTGCTCATGGGTAATTAACTCCGCTTCTGTCCACTGAGTAAATGAATGCTTATCTTTCCCCCTGTACCGCTAATCCCACAAAACAACAACTGATATAACCATCCTAAGAACAGATTATAATTTGCTTGTTTAAATATAACATAGCAATTGAATTTCAAACAAATACAGAGCAGTCTTCATGTGCCATGATTGAAACATCGCGCGCTCGGTAATTTATACATCGTCAGAAAAATATGACGCGGAACTAATTCAAGTTGATGATGGCCAACAAGAAAAGGCTGCAGTCCACCGGATACACACGACCAGATTGTTGGTAAACGGTTGCGAAGAAAATACGCCGACTCAAGTTTATTTGCCTGTTTCCGTTGCGTCGGACTATTGCCTGTACTGATCTCGTATACAGTAAACCTGAGAACGAAACTTCCTATGCACATTCTGTATACATACTACTCCTCCAGACTACTAATATAACAAGTGTGAAAACACGAAGTCAATGACTTCGGTTTTCATATTTCTGTCACAAATCGGTAAACAGAACGTGTATTTACTATTGCCCTCAAATTTCCATATAATATTGACTAAATGGTAGAGGCGACAATGAAAAAGTTTACTGTATATTATAA